AAATTAATTTTCTTTTTTGAAAGGAAAAGGATTCAGAAAATATGACTGTGAAATGCCTTAAAAAACAATTTGCTTTTTCAAACAGCCATTTTTAATGCAAAACTGCCAACACTAGTGAATACAGATAATGTAGAAACTTTAAAAAGTAATCAAATAAAAGATTTCTTTTTGAAACAACAAAGCAGTTTGTTCAACCTGGGGCTATGTATTATTTTTTTTTCTCTTCCATTTTACACCCATTTTGCCTGGAAACATTTTGCTTTCCTGATTAGGCAGGCAGCCTGAGAAAACAGTTATTCCTTTAATGACTGTTTTCTTTGAGCTGCAGTCTTTTTGATGAAAATACAGTACACTATGTGCCTGTCTTTGCTGTGGATTGAGCATGGATTGATACCTCCGAAGGCAGTACATTGGGTTGGATTCAGGAGAGGGACTGCTGCAGCAGGAACAACTGACTGAGTTACCATACCCTGCTGACTGGGAGAAAACATAGCCTTGGAGGTGGCATCAAGCTTGCAGGGAATGCTGCTTCCTGACCTATTTGTTTGTTACAGTAACACCACATTTTTATGCCTCCAGCTCCTGGCTTGGGTAAGAGTGAGCTTGTACTTTTACATGCATGTGCTGTCTTCTTGGATCTAGCTTGTGTCTCTTCACTGCATATAATAGATACATTTTTGTGGCACACCTTGGAATATTAGCCTCTAGATATATACCTTTTGTCTTCTTTGGAGGAAGTTATTTAATTGGATTTGATGTTCTGAACTCAATTCCAATTTAATACAACTCATAGGAAATCACTCTTTGAGAAAGCAGAACAGTTTATATTGCATGAATGAGCAGATTGTTCCAAGACTCTGCCAGGGTCTGTGCACACCTCAGCCTCTTATGTGAAAGCTAGAAAATCTCCTGCAAATGCTTACATCCCTGGTTGGGTTTTAACTGAGATTAGTTAGTCAGAAAATTTTTCTCTTTTCTTCTCTTAAACAAGCCCAGAAGAAGGTATTAATATCTGTTGGTGTCATTCTGTTGCTACTGCAGTCTAGTCTAATATTTCAAACTACATCTGCATTGCATACAGCTGTGTTAAACAGCTCCAAATGCACATGACATGCAAAAGAGATGATTCAGGAGCATGGAGGCATCAACGTGTTGCTCTGTTGGGCTAAAGAAGCTGATTCCTTCAGAAAGCCAGAACAGTAGCATTGCTGCAGATAATAATAATGCCACTGCAGAGAGCAGCATTAATCCCACAAATGTAATTTTTAGTAGCAGAGCATATGGCATGTGCACGGCTTGCAGTTTTGCCATCCTGTGTACTTTACATATCCATTACCTGCTGGTTGCCACACCTGAATGGGATGATAGGAGGTGTGGGCTTATCCCTGTGCCTGGGGCTGCATCATCACAAGCACATCTTTTAAGAAAAGACATTAAGTGTAAATGAGTATTATCTCATTACCTCTATGTTTATTGGTCTCTGCGTTTCCTCAGAAAAGAAAAACAAGAAGCCTCTTTCTGACAAATGTCCTGTAATTAGAGTAGCTTATTATTAATATCAAAACACATTTAGGTTGAAGAACATTTATCACGTCTACATATATATATACAGAACTTCTAAACAGAAAAGTAGGTCTATGGTCACTTCGCCAAAACTTTTCCAATTGAGTTGGAATCAAATGTTTAGTTTCAGGCGAGGCTGCTGAAAGGTGTAATTTTATTTCAGTTTGATGCCTGTTGGTGTATCTTCTTGGGCTGGGAACCCTGTTGCTTGCTGGAGTACCAGGGTCAGACCCATGCTGCTGCACAGCCTCAGTGCTTTGCAGAAGGGAAAGCAGCTGCCTCCTGGGAACTCCAACAACACACACAGCCACTTGTACTGTGTGTAGCCAGAACTAAGGAATAAAGACCAGTTTATGCCTCCTATTCTCCTTTATAGATATGTGAGGTCAGGTCTGTAAAGAATTACTTTAAAAAATTCATTTAGCAAAATAGGAACTTAAAATAAAGTCTGAATATACCAATAATGAAACTGAGTGTACATGTCAATACAGACTGTGTATCTGTGGAGAGACAGATAAAGACATGAAAGAAAATGGGAAAACTCACATACAGTTTACAGCTACCCCAGGTGTTCAGCACTCAGCTATGGTGTTGAAAAGAAAGGCAAAATTGCTAAGGATTAGTAATAAAATATTGTCATTTTTTTTCTTTTCTTCATCAGAACAGTTTTCAGTGATTTATAAGCAAGAGAATGATAAAATATTTATTATAGCAGAGTACAGAATGCCAGGGAATACTTTATATCAACACTAGGAAATTTTTAGTATTTTATACATTTAAATGAAATGAAGCTCTTCAAATGGTAGATTGCATATTTTTCAAGAAGTCTGAATCTGAAAATTAAAGAAGATAATAATCTGGTCTCAAATACAAGGAAATTTTTTCCTTTCAGCAGCTAAGAGGAAGAGAAAGAGATATAATGATGCAATTGATTTTAAAGTATTTTAAAATTAAAAATAAAACAAACAAACTAAACATAAAACTCCTACTAATTCCCCATAGTATTTTAAAACAGATATGGTGATATTCACCAAGAACGATTGAGACCATGGTGAAAGATAACCAATCCTCCTGATCTGTGGGGTTATATACCAACATGTTTCAGAGCCAGAAGCCGTCACACCCCAGAGTGCTGAGAAACCGATGAGTAGTTCTTATGTAATCAGGTCTTTTCCAACCTTAACGATTCTATGATTATATGTTTCTGCTATATGATGAACAGCGCTGGCCTGGGCAGCTGAATCTGATGTAATGGGGCAGTGTTGGGTGCAGAAACTCTTGCTGACTTCCACTATCCTGTCAGGAGCTTTCCTGTGCTGGTCCAGGGTTGGTGGGATGTAGAGGAGCATGTGAATTGTTTAAGAGCTGTGGACAACTCAGAGCCAAAAGCTAACCATCTCCACTAACATTTTCTCCAGTCTCAACAGTCAGCAGTAAAGGAAGAGGGTATCTGCTACACTGGCAATACCAAGCTGAGTCCTCATTGTGTACAGCTCTCATCGCTGTTTCACCGTGCACTCTGGGCATTCCTGAAGCACAGAAAGAAACAGACTTGTTCTTGCTGTAAATGATTGATCTCCTTGACCTCTTGAAATGTTTTATTTCTAGGAGAGGGAGAGAATTTTCTGACAGAGAATGCTGTTTAATTTTACATTTTAGTATTTTTCAACCTTTGTTTGAGTTATTTCTTTTGCTCCAGCTTTCTAATTTCATTTCCTGTTAGCACTGTTTTAATGTTAAGTTCTCTTTTAAAATATTATTTATGTACATGGTATATCAAGATTGTATTCAGAAATGACAATTTTTCAGGATATTGTCACTGAGAAGCCTTTTAGTGAGGCTAAATTCAGACAAATTTAGTGTGATTTTCCTTGCACAAAAAAGTGTAAAAAGTTTGGGCATTCTGTCAATTTATTAACTGCTGTTAGTGGTGAAAGTGTCTAAGCAGGTAAGGAAAGAGAAGAATCATTTACTGATAAATTAGTGGCATAAGTGAGGAATAAAGTTTTCTGAAAACACTTTTTATGATAAATTCAGGAACTAACTGTGGCTTTTACAGCTGATTCTACCAAGGCAAATTGGATTATGCCTCAGCTTGGCCTTGTATTTGGGGTAAATTAATTTCTCTCCAGAAATTGGAATGTTAAATGTAGAAAAAATGTTTATCAATGCAGCTATGCTACCAAATTGATAAACGTTATTTTAGCTTATGAGAACATGGTAGCTGATCCTTACATTGCTATTTATAGCTGATGCAAGGAACTTATGTTTTTCCATATGTATCAAAGGCTGTCATAAGTAATAAAGTTATGGAACAAAAATGTTAAAAAATAAAAAATATGTTGAAATATAAATATAAAACAAAATAAAATATAAAACCAAAATAAAATATAAACCAAATATTTGTTAAAATATAAAATTCTAAGTCCCCCATGGAAGGAAAACCAAGAATAATAATAAAAAAGTATTGTAGTATGCAAAAGAAGATGGAATGAAATACAGCCACACACAGTTAAAAAGGGTTTAGAAGTTTTCACGGGACTTGCTGGAGAATATACATTGCTTCTGTGAGAAGATTTGGTTTATTAGTAATAGTCTGGGTAAAATTTCAGGGTTTAAGAGAATACTAATAAAGCGAAGATGGACATTAACCAGACCATGCTATAAATACCACACAAAGAGACCAAACAAGCTCTCTACTGAGAGACATGCTTGATGTTCTGCTTCACTGCTAGCCTGTAACAATAGGAAGAAACCTGTTGTCTTTGTAGAATTAGTTCAGTTAAATAAACTGCTCGAAATGCTATTGTTTAGGTCTGACAGTAGCTGCTTACTGTGGTTCCTCTTTATGCGCGATCAGCTGATGCAGCTTAGAGTCTGCTGCAGTGTGCCTGTAGCACACGTACATTTTAAACTCTGCCATTTGGCGTATAGAGCCAGTCCATGCTACTTTGCATAAATTCCTCCTGTTTTTGTTCTCATGAAGTGTTAACCATAGCTCAAGATGCTATACAATACAGGTTGCTCATTTAAGGGGGACATTTTCAGAAATTCCCTTCTATGAAGGTGAGTTGGTTTATACCTGCAATTTAGTAACAGGTAACTTTTGGAGCAATTACGTGTTTTGTATTTGACTGCAAATGTAAACCTGAGTTCAGATTGCAGCATAAAATCTATACTAAAAAAATAAAATCAATTATTTTCTGAGTATCAGTAGGAAGGCATGTTTTATTTTTTTTTTTTTTTCTGAATGGCAGACACAAAGATTAGGAGCAAAATTCTCTAAGAATATATTATTTTTACAATGAGACTGAGTTTCACTCTGACAAGGAATATGTCTACTGTTAATAAGTGTTCATTTTTTAAATTAACAAGACAAGTTACATTTCTGAAAGTTCTCTGCTCTAGACATCAAATAATGTAGTCACATACAAGTGTTTCATTTAGCAGTTGGTTTGTCTTTTATTACCATAGTGGTGGACATTCAAGTCTGGTAGATAACACAGCTGTTGTTAAATATGTTGACTATATCATTTAGGTGAAGTCATTCAGCCATTTCAGAACTGTGACCTATAATATTTTACTAATACAAACTTTGTGCTCACTGGTAATCATGAGATAATAATTCACTAAACAGTTTAGCTAGAAGAGAGCTCAGCTCAAGCTCCACACAGACATATGTCAGAAACAGATTATAGGGTAAGAGGCAGAGAAAATTAAATTTTAACTCCCTCCCCTCATACATAAACTCAAAAGACTCTCCAAAACAAACAAACATATCCTCAGCTGTGAGGAAGGATAGAAATCAGTACTGAAAACTGGATTAACGTGTTGGTTTCATGGGGACAGCAGGGACCAGAAAGCAAACTTCCTATTATCAGCTGACTTTCACTGAAAGCATGATCTTCTAATCTGATGCAGAAAAAGCTTTAGCTGAAGTCAACAAGGCTGGACCCTTTAAAGTTCCTGAAGAGTTCACAATTCATATTAAATGAATAACTGAATAACTGAAAATTAATACCAGCATTTAGGCTGTTCTCTCTAGAATAAAAGAAAGAAAATGTGAGATGAAATTCACAGACACCCTTATGTCTTCCAAATTATGCTAAGACATGGAAATCTATCTTCTTAACTCTAACGTGTATTTATGAGTTTAGTAGCAGGAAATTGCAATAAATGTCATATTATTATGCAGAATGTATTCGTAGCTCATTTACATGCTTATAGTAAATTTGAGGCACAAGAATCAGGATTTAAAGACTAACAGTTTTTATGAATAAAGACTGATGAATCAGGTTCTAAACTCTAAAAACTGACACAAAATAAAAGCAGCTTTTAGGTAGGTTTTCAGACTAGTATAGATGAGATTCACAAACTGAGGAATTATATAAGTTATCTGGGAGAATAACAAATGTCAGTGTTTCCTTCTTAGATTAAGAAAAATAAAATTTATGGTGCCGCAAGTCCTTTGTGATTTATCAAGCAATACTATTTTTGGGGATGAAGTGAATGCCACATTTGGTGCTTTTGAATCTGAAAATAGGTTGGGCTTTTTTGTTTTAGTTTATTTTTTTCTTTAATTCAAAGATAACCCATAGTCTTCAACTGACAATAAAATGTTTCACTTAACATCAAATTAACATCAACATGCTATTCAGTAGCACAAGATATTCAGAATAAATTCTTAGTGTGATTAAAGTATTCACATTCTGAACATGACATTTAGTTGAATTTAAATTCATTAAAATACAATTAAAAGGCCAGACAGTTGAAATACCAAATCAAGAAAATTTAATAGCTTTACTCTGTTTATTTGCATTCTTCTTTAAGTACTGGGTAAGCTGACTGCATGTATTCGAGGATTTTTTGAATGAGATTGTTTACACCTGTAAATAAGAATATAAAATATAAGTATAAATCAGAATATCCCTCAGAATTGTATTGCACCAGCATGCACTATTAGAAACAAGAGATCTCAAAGAAATTTACCAAAGAGGCTAGAGTATTAAGTCAGCTAAGGCATTATAAGGCATAGGAAAGTAGTTTAACCAATGTTCTCAAGTAAGCGATCTGTAATTGCAGGATGTAGTATAGCTTGCTTTTTTTCCAGCTGCTACCAAAACACACAAAGCATTACTGCCTTTCTTCTGGACTGGGGAGAATTCATCCAGAACAAGGCCAAATTCTTATCAAGATAATCTCCATGAGCTTAGAGCAAGGAGGTTTTGGTCTATGTTTAATTAAAGCTGCATTACAGTACTTAGACATCTGTTACATTTGTACATTGTAGGTCAAGGGCTCAGCTCAAGCCTCTCTTCTGAGATTTCTATGGCCATTGATGAGCCTTTTTTTCTGCTCCAATATTTTTCATGGCTATGTCACCACTTCCATGTCCAAGGACACTTTCTCTCATCAGGGAAAAGCATGTGATTTAGTCCTTAACTTGTAGCATTTTGAAATTTTAAGAAGACCATTTTCAGAGAAACCTCCTAAAAACTCCAAAGAAGTTTGATGAACCATACTGTGCAAGCAGTAATACAGATAGATGCAAACTTCATCTTTAAGTCTGACTCTCAGAGTGATAAGGTGGGTACCTAAGCGTTGCAGTTAGGTACATCATTGTAGCATCTTTAACTGAACACCTGCAAACAGTGGTTTTCCTATATTTACATAATTCTTTACTATTTCTATCTTTTACTTTCTATCATAGGTTTTGGCACTTTCTTTCATTCCTTTCCTGCGCCCATCCAAAACAACCTTATGCAATAAATTCAGCCTTCTTTATGATCCCTTAGTTTCAATCAATGAAACTAATCACATGACTAAAGATTTGGACATATACTTCCTTAACAAATACCTATGACAGTTTAAGATCGCCCTCTTTCCCCCTCTTAAATTACTTCTGTCATGGTTTTATTAATAGGAGAGAATATCTGAGTGCCCTGCAGGCACCTCAGGGAAAAGTCCTGCAGCTTGTACAGGAAAATTTTGCTTTAGACCCATATAAAAATTGTATAAGTAATGTTATGTTAAACCAGCTCCTCTCTGACAAACTTATTAGAGTTTCTGTGACTGAATCTCTTCCCTCCCACTAAGTGGAAGACTGTCACAAGTAGCTGCTTAGATCTGGAAAAATTTTAAGGAAAGATGCAGTATTCATCCTTCCACCATCTGCAGAAGGTCTGGCTAAGGGCTCACCACCACTCCAGCAAGGGGGCAGCATAAGCCTCTTGAATGTAGATAGGTCTTTGGAGTTAGATGGAGCTAGTTGGGGGTTCAGGTATGCAAAAGCTCATGTTATTTACTATCTGTGCCCCAAATCATCTTCTTCTAATTTACATTACCTCATGTTACGTCTCAGTCAGGAATGGTGGCTATTTCCTGCTGTCAGTCCTTTTAGAAAAGAAAATATGTGTATGATTAAACATATGTTTGAATATGTGTGTGTATATGTGTATGTATATATCTATCTCTCTATATATAGATAGGTGAACACAATTTTGTTCGGAAAGAAGAAGTTGTTTATCATCAAATCTTTAAGTTTTAGACCTGGTTTATTCCAAAAAATAATGAAAAATGAATTTCTTTTGGGTATATATCAATGAAACTATTTTTCCATCTATTGCTTACACATATATGAGCTCCAAGTGATCCGGCAATGCATTTTGATACTTGTGTCCTCATTGCCCCCTGAGAAAAAGAAAAATTTCCATTCCCATTTTGGGAAATGCTTCATCTATGGTAAAGAATCCTTCAAAATAACAGGCAATGAAGGCACACCTATGCATATAAATAACTTTTCTTATAAGCAACTTAATCTGTAAAGTTTAGGGTCTTTTGATCTAATCTAAAGGAGGACCAAACTCTATATAATGACAGAACTGCTAGGAATACTCTTCAGCAGCTTTTCCCATGATTTTAGGAAAGTGGTATGTTCTGGCTCAGTAAAGACAGAGTCTGAAAATTTTGTAATGTAAGGGTTTATATTCTAGAAGGATATAAACCCAAAGATATATAACCTAATCAGTTTGCTGAACAGCAAGTGTATTTCTTTCAAAGTAAATAGCTTCTGCAAAATATTATTTATATAGTTCTTGCAAATTGGTTTGAAGTGTTGTTTAGACAATCTTATTATGTATAAAGATAAAAACTTCCATCAAGAAATTATGCAAAAGAAAATGGACACACCAGCTGGATAAATCTATCATACATCGGCAAAAAGCAACAAGCACTTTTAATTAGCTGAGTGAATGTAGTTTGCTGAATGTTGAAAGCACAGACTCACTCATATTAAAATGTGCCTAATTTTCTGTGAAAAAGTCCCATCTGAACAGCCCTGACCATAGTCAATCATACTAAAAGCCACTGGTGCTTTATTTGATTTACCAATATAAAATGCAAATGAGGTGATTAAGTGGAGTGGCAGACATAGTAGGGCCTCTTTTAAACCATCAAGTTAAATGCAAGCAGACAGCAAACTGGCTGTGCAAGGAAAATTTTAGCATATTCGTTTGATTAGTGCTACAAAAATTTAATTAGGTTGGCTAATTACTTGACAAATTACTCTACACTAGAGAAAAGGCAGAACATGTTTTATTCCTGCAAAAACTCTGTGTGTATTTTAGCCCAAATGCTATCTGCCAATTTGCAAAAGCATTATTAAATGAAAGAAAGATGGTACAACAGTCTCCAACAATGGCAAATTGTATAATGCATATAATTAGAGAAGGTGCACACCACTATATCCATATGTCCATGATCCCTCATGTCTAAAATATTTAACACAATATTTTCTAGGAAAATACTGTCAAAACAGATTATTACAAGGTTATCAGTTCTTCATAAGAAGCAATATATAGAAAATACTCATTAGTGGAAAACACAGCTCATCCAAAGCAGAGCCTCTTCACCCAAATGAACTCTATCAAATGCAGTAACAGGGATGCACTTTATCCACACGTTGCTGAAAGGAAATAATGTACACTGTTCAGTTAAAGGCTGTATCTCTCTATTTATTGCTAAGCAGTGCCAAGAATATTAGTTACGTGGCAAAGAAAAAAAAAAGGCAAACTTGGAGGAATTTAAAATTTCACACTTTATTGGTGTGAATGGGCCATATAAGAAGAACATCAGGACTTTAGGTAGAGTAATACATGTCTCTTCTTGTTTGTCGATTTGCATTCACATGCCACAAAAGCTGCCAATTTTTATTCAGGAGACTGCATTTGCTTTTGGCATTCAATGTAACTAATCAGCCTCTACAGACTCAAACATCATGATAATATAAATAGATACTCACTTTATCTACTCAAGTGGAAAAAATAAGTATCATATTATATAAACATAATGCATTGCAATTGACAATTAGATACTGCATTTAACTCAGGCTAAAACAATGTTTTAGGAAACCAAGGAATATATGAGACCTGTTTTAACAATTACCATACCTGTGCATGCACAAATAAAATCGTATTTCTTGCAATTAGCAGTACTCAACTTCTGTTCTACCATACTAATATATTTGTAAATGTACAGGCTTAGCAAAACATCAAAAAATTTAAATCAAGTGTAAATTCATGTTACCTCAGTGTAAGTATTATTGTGTGTGGTTGGGTTTGTTTCCAATATGTTATATGTTAAAACCAATCTGAGCCCCTTAGCAGTTTGTTTGAATAATTGCTAAGATCAATTCAATAAGAAGATACACAGGTTTTCTAATGATTTTTAAAAGAAAGTAGCCCAACATGGTATTTCAGTCTTTGTTTATGTTCTGATACTTCAAAATTCCAGATTTTCAGAGGATGATGCTCATTACTGCATTTACACTTCTTGTATCAAAAATTAAAAGATCTGAAATCCCTTTGCATTTAGAAAAGATCCTCAGTTTATACTGAAATAATCCAGAAAGAAGATAACAATTGGTAGGTTTTGAAACCAGTCAGATGAGGATAGAAAAAAATACACTCAGCTACACTACTACAGTCCTCTTTCACAGAAGCAGAGGAAAGGCAATGCATGGACTAGGCTCAGAAAGCACTCCAGCATCAAAGCAATTAGCTTTGACATATCCAGATATTCAGTAGAGCCATCTGTATTGAGGTAAAAGTTAATATTGCTTGGACATTGAGAGAGAGATGCCACAAATTAATTATCTAAGACAGATTCTTAAAAATACTAAATAGAAGGGGGAAAAGATAAGCTTAACTTCAATCCTGTTTTGTCATGTTCACTATAGGTATGAAAAACTCTTCAGTGAAGCAAGTTTTTTGTGAGATGCTTCAATAAACTGTAATTTTTTAAGGAAGACTAGACTGAAAAATCTCCATTTTTTGCGGGTAAATATTTAACCAGCTGTTGAAAGCAGAGATTGAACAAGCAATCTTGAAGGTTCCTTGAATGTGTCAATGACAACTTCCTTATACAAGGGATTGAGGAGCCAGCAATGAAAGGTATGATGCTGGACTGTGCTCACCAACAGGGAGGAGCTGTGGGGGAATATAATCCTCTAAGGCAGTGTTGGCACTTTACCTTGTGCAGTTCAAAGCCAGGTTGGATAAGGCCCTGAGCAATCTGGTCTAGTGGGGGGTGTCCCTGCCCATGGCAGATGGAGTTGGAACTAGGTGTTCTTTAAGGTTCATTCCAACTCTTAACATCCTGTGATTCTGTGATCCTATGATTTGAACTACTATTTTCTTTTGGCCTTGAACATGCCATGGCCACTACACATTAACGAAAATGGACAGAAGGGAACATCTTCAAATGCAATAAAAGAGAAGAATCATAGAATGTGCTGAGTTGGAAGGGATCCACAAGGATCACTGAGTCCAGCTTTTAACCCTGCACAGGACTATTCCTAAGACTTTCACCATGTACCTGAGAGTATCATCCAAACTCTTCTTGAACTCTGTCAGGCTTGGTGCTGTGACCACTTCCCTGGGGAGCCTCTTCCAGTGTCCAACCAGCTTTTGGGGAAGAACATTTTTCTAATATGCAACCTAAACCTTCCCTGACACAGCTTCAGGCCATTCCCTTGGGTCCTGTCACTAGTCACCACAGAGAGGAGATCAGTGTCTGCCCCTCCTCTTCCCCTAATGAGAAATTATGGTTTCTCAGGAAACTCCAACCTAACATCAGTGTGGTAAGGAACACAAGCTAAATAAACCACCTACTTGATTTTTCCTCCGTGTTTTGTGAGAAGCAAGGAGCAATTTGTTTAGAAGTATTTCAAATAGATATGCAGAGATGAATAACTATATATGGAACAAATATATGTATAACTATATATCAAATAGCTAGATAGGGAACACAGCACAATACAGAAAAACTTTATTAGAACATGGTCCAGAGACTATAGCTCTTCCTATGGCCATTGTAGAAAGGAGTATCCTAAGGATCTTGTCAATATAGCATAACAATTCTCAACCTTCTTTTTAAGACTTTTTTTTCATCATAATTTAAGTCCTTCTGCCAACAGGTGAATATGGTCACAGTCTCTAGCCAGCACCAATCCTCTAAATTTCAAACTCTCACTTTTCAGCTTTCATAAAGTGCAACTATTTGTCCTCTTCTCACATCCTCAAATCCCTGGACTCCCTAACTACCCTGATGACTTTTTAACTGACCCAGGTACACTGAATCAGAGCAAATGAAGCACCTTTCCTTAAGAGGAACTTCTATGAGAAAATTGGGAGACGGGGCAGAAAAATGTCAGGAATGGCACATGTATGAGAAACAGAGGTCAGAAGGGATTTTTGAAGTCTGACCTCATCTCTGAGGATGCATGCACCAAACTGAGAACAATGCAATTCCGTTGGGATACCCTGAACAGGCCACGAAAATGAGAGCATCCGCATCCCTGGAGCCAGCAGCAGAGGCATCAGGGACAGGACTGTGTATGAGGAAAGCTTGAAAGCTTTCATTTTCAGCTTTTTGCTTTGGACTTTACTAGCTGAGGACATGCGCAGAACAGTGCTTATCCTTATGCCAAAGTGACAAATGTGGCAGCACAAAACAAAAATCTGGCAAGTACAGAGCTTCTTGTCTGCCCGATTTACTTCTCATTGCTGCCTTTCTCTGTGTGAAACAGCAGAACAAACAAACAAGAAAATAGGAGCCTAAATGTTTGAAAAGACATTTGCCACAGCAGAATTGAACATAAAGGATAGCAGGCAGTTTTCCTATTCTGAAAAAAAAGAAACACTTCTTAAACAAAGACACAGTTAAACAAAGAATCCAGTTACTACTTACATCAGACAATTAGAAGCTGGACCTTGCTCAAGACAAAATAGCTATTCATTTTAGTTAGTTTATTAGGGAATTGACATTAATGAGATTAAGAAAAGCTTTGGTTTACATGCAGATTACATAGCTGATGCAAGATTTATACCTTACTGTTTTTTAAAACTCTCAGTTTAGAAAAGGACTATATTTTAAAAAAATGTTGCATTACTGGATAATTTACAATTTATTCCTTGCTATAGCAAAAAGTTGTTAGACTTGGTTTGGACTTGATTGTAATTTCACATAGTCACTTGACTTTTTTTACAGTTTTTGTGGTTTATACTCCTTTCTCATTGTTGTCTGCTTGTCCTGCAGACAAGACACTAGACTAAGCTGCTATGTCATTCCATTCTTGTGTACATAACAAGATGATAAAACTTAGGTAAAAAGGTTGAAAAAAACTCCGCTTTGTTTCCTGTAGGTCCTGATCAGTGAAGGATATTGCTTTGACTTTGAGGGACTGTCACTGTTAAGCTATGCATAGTTAAAATTTACTGACTAACATTAGATTTTAGCTATGGGTTTCTAGAATCAAATTTTGGGTGGCTACATGACACTGAACAGACTTCTTAACTTTTCAAAGAAAAGATTATTAGCATTATTTATTTGCATTAAGACTCACACAAATTAGTATTTTAATCATCTCACTGTGCATCATTCTAGAAAAAAGGTGATATGTGGGAAAATAAGTGTACTAGTATGATAATAATTAAATCAGAATATTTCCCCTCTTGAGCCACTTTTCTA